CCAAAATTCACGGCACCTGCAAAGCACAAACAGAGAGCACAAAAGAAGCATATACCCTAGGGCCTAGGGATCCAGGTACTTGGACCCTTCAAACCTACGTGGCCTCCGACCATACCACGGCCATTGATCAAACATGATCAAACATTTGGGTGACACAATGGCCTCGAACAAGTGCCCTATGCCATATCAGGGATCTATCCGGACTTCCGAGCAAATGATTATGGTGATTGGATGACCTTCAAGGACCCCCAAGTTTTGAAAACAAAAACTAATTGGATCTAATGATCTAATTGGAACCCATTGGAACCCTATGGATCTACTGCCAGCTTCTGAGGTACGTGAGCAGGGAGACGTTACAGGCGAAGCAAGGGCCCACTTCGTAACGAACCTGAGGAGGCAATGGATCCTTGGGGGAAGGAAACAAGCAAGGAATCCACCTGCTCTGACAGTTTATGGCGCAGAACCTGCTCCTAAACCATTGGAAACAAAGACTTCTCTGAGCATATCTGAGTCCTCGCAAGTGGTGGAACTGAGGATGGTACCTGCTGTGTAGGAAACTGCACTTGCTGGACAGCTATGTTCCTGAAGATTCGCGATAAGATATGAGAAGATCTATTTACCACGCCGTTGGTGTGTGTGCCACCTGTGGCATGTGTTTGTTCGTTGCTTGTCGGTCGAAACCGTTGCAGAGTCAACATCACTCCTGCTTGCCCGGCAGACTCGTGAAACAGTTGCCTGGCTCGGGTGCGGGGAATTCCCGGTCACGGTGTGCGATGCCCGGTCACCGGTGTGCGATGCCCGGTCACTGTTGCAGCAAAGACTTGTCACAGTTCATCAACAAACATGCAAACCCTACAAGTCAGATTGAAATAATTTTACCCGAGATGGTCATACTATGTCATAGCATATTAAACCAATACCTAAGGAGGTAAATACTAGGTGTTACTGGGTCTTGGGACTTGTAAATAGATGTTGAGGACCTGGATTGTTCGGGGTCGACCCTCGGACACCAACCAAGTGTTCAAAGCTTGTTGCCGAGCGCTGTCGGTTTGCGGAAGCTGCCACAGCGGCAAGCATCGAAATTCGACCGTTAACCGGTTTCTGTTGCCAAGAGAATGCGATGTTTGCTCTATGGCCACCACATGAAACCACACCAAAACCGGGATTTGAAGCTCCGCAGATGCAAACAGAACATGAACAAAAAAGGCATCATACATGGGATACCCATGAATCCAGCCACAGGGATTGCAAACATACATCACAACAAATCATGGTATATTAGTATATTGCCCAAACGACACATGTCAGCAAATATGGCCTAAGATTTGGTGTTTTTTCGTGGTGAAGGATGAGCGAACACAAAACCACTGACCATCTGCATTGTCTAAGTGTCAAATAATACTCCATCCCAACCAAACCGCGCCACAACGCAGCTTCCCAGCGCAGTCTGAAGGCCTTCGCCTAAAACAGCCCTTTGCCGTTTCCAGCTCTGGCCTGGCACAAGGGACGAGAGGTACCCTCAAATTCCTGGCCCACCATTGTTTTACGTATACTGAGCGTTTTAGACTACAAATGGTCTTGGGGAAGGCTATATAATATATATAATATATACCAGCACCCTCCAACAGGTCACCAATTGAGACCTGTTAGGGCCCAACAACCCTTTAGAGGAGACCTGTTGGAGGGTGCTGGTATATATATATATATATATGAGGATATTGGAGGCTTTGGGTGGTCTTCGGACAGTCCAGCTACCTTCGGACACTTGGCTGGTTCCCGCAGTTGTTCATTTATTACGATGACACCTGATACCGGGTAGGTAGGACCTGGCACGACCTAGATTTCTATATGGCCATCCAAACATGCAGGACACGGCCAGGTGTGGAAACCGAAGCCTTCCTTCGATGTCGATGATGCGCCCGGTGCAGAAAGGGTATGCGGAGCAGAAGCGGACTCTGGCACGCACGTTTCCACCAGATGTTTCATGGTGTTTCCTACATTGAGAAAACAACAGCGATGAACAAGCACACACCTACAAAAAAAATAAGAAAACCAACGACAGACAACAACCACCACAACAACAACAGCAAGGTACAAACAAAAACTGCAGCCCCGTTACAACACGTCTTGTTCCTTTGTCTCTACAAGGGGGTGGAAACAAACTCTGCAGCCCCGTCGTTGCTTTTTGACCCCCCCCCCGAAAACAACCAACCAACAAGTACTTTTACCAGTAGTGGTAGTTCTTGTACTAGTGCGAGTACTAGTGGCACGAGTACTAGTGGTACTCGTAGTGGTCGTTGTTGTAGTAGTCGTGAGACTAAGAGGAGTAGTAGTAGTAGTAGTAGTAGTAGTAGTAGTAGTAGTAGTAGTGGTAGTGGTAGTGGTAGTAGTAGTAGTAGTAGCAGCAGCAGTAGCAGTAGTAGTAGCAGTAATAGTAGTAGTGGTAGTAGCAGTAGTAGTAGTAGTAGCAACCGGTCTGCTAAGCCTCTGTAAAACTTCTACTTAGAACCTCGACCACATCCTAGAGACAAAAACTGCAGCCCCGTTGTTTTTTTGGACCCCCCCTCAAAAGGTGTTGTTGTCTCTACCCCCTCCTAAACACAACTACTGCAGCCCCGTTGTTGTTTTTTTGGAACCCCCCCTCCAGAACAACAAATCAAAAACACTAAAACGGACCAGCCCAAACTTCAGTGAAACAAGTCCAACAAGTCCACCTATTCGCTCATACCTTCAACCGTATCCCTAACCTCGTCCCCTTGAAGTTCCAAAGTTACAACATGTGACAATTATGTTGGGCGGCTGTGTTTGTTTCTACCACCACCACCACCACCACCACCACCAACAACAACAACAACAACAAACCAACAACAACCAACCAACCAACCAACCAACCAACCAACCAACCAACCAACCAACCAACCAACCACCCAACCACCCAACCACCCAACCACCCAACCAACCAACCAACCAACCAACCAACCACCCAACCACCCAACCACCCAACCACCCAGCCACCCAGCCACCCAGCCACCCAGCCACCCAGCCACCCA